ATTGGAGTGGTCGAAGGAAACCCTTTGTCCAGGGGTGGACACACACACACACACAAAAACAAAAACAGGTGATCAACTTGCCTGACCTTGGCCGCCTGGCCCTGATCCTGGGCCTTGCGGCCTCCGGTGGTCTTTGAGCCGTGTGGTCTTTTCGCTTGAAAAGCTGAAAGGAAAAGGAACAACAAGGGCATCGCTACTAGTAGCAAATAGCTACTATAGGAGCAAAGGGCATCGCTACTAGGAGCAAGAAGCTCCCATGGCTCCCATGGCTGGAACAAAGGAAAGGATAGACGGATAGAAAAGGGAAGACACCATAATCTAGTAAGTAAGGAAATGGATGAGGCAAGGATGAGGCAAGTTTCTCCTCAAGAATTGCACCCTCGGCCCTTGGGTTGGCCTTTCTTCTTGTTGGCTTCGGCAGCTTGGGGGTAGAGTTCAAGCGCCTTCCCTAGCCAGCCAGCAAGAACTTGTTGTGGTATTTCTTGCTTTCGCTGTGGCTGGGCCCGAAAGGTGATACTACATATCCTTCCGGCCCTCCGTCCTTCCCCTCCCTCCTTCCCTCTTTCCGCGTTCCTCTTTCTTCATCCTTTTCTCTTCTTCTTTTGGCTCTTCTCCCTTGTCCGTGTTCCCTTTCTCTTCCGTCCCTCCTTCCTTCCTTTCCTTCCCCTTTCCCTTTCCCTTTCTTCCATTATCAAGCTTTCAAACGACGACGTAACATATACAAATCATTTAGGAACGATGAAGTTTAATAGCACGTGCAAGTTAAGTGTGTTGACTCGACCCAATAGTGATTGAACTAGTGACGATGAATCATTATTGGATTGGAATCTTTATCAGACATAGATTCCCATACCTTTAGACAAGTCGAGCAATCGACGTGTTTCTTCCCCAAAAGTTGTGGAAATGTGAGAGTCCAAACAAGATATATCTATCTACATGTATAATATATATATATATGACATTACTATAATATACATATATATATGTCTAGAGTCTAGAGTCTATATAGTATAGAGAATGGTAGCCAAATAGCAGCCAAGTCATCCCCGCATCGCAACCGATTAACCATGGATGTCAATCCACCTCGACGCTGGGTGCCAACCCGGCCCATCCCGATCATCGACTTCGAATCCGACCCATCTTTTGCAGTCTCATCACCTGAAAGAGAGTTATGTCTGTGCCCTCACAACCATTTTTAATGATGTGGTGTCATGTATGTTCATGTTTTCTTACCCTTAAAAAAAAAAGGAAAATCAACGGTTGAATTGCCCAACAGCAAGCACGAATGTTTATAAAGGAGAAACACACACGGCGGCCAACAAAACGCACGAACGACACACGCTTCACACAGCGGCCTAAGCGCACGCTATATACAGCGGCCTTCGCTTCGGCCAAACACACGCGTTTACCGCCGAAAAAGGAGGCCGAAGCGAAGGAGCACGGAGCACGTCGAGGCTCTGAGAACGATAGTCCACCACTTGATCAGCACCCTGGGCTTCAACCAGTTCACCTCGGGACCGCAGAACCAGTTCAAACGCAACGGAGAGCCAGCCATGCAGAGCGCGCTCTGCAGCCTCATCTGGAATAAGACCAACGGTATTAGAAGAGGCGGTTGGATTTCCTACGCCTGCTGCCGGGAGTTTCGACGCAAGGTCTACGGATGTCTACGGTTTCCACAGCCCGAAAAACCACGCAAGGTCTATGTTTCTTTCCGCGGTCAGCCTTTATGGACCAGCCCAAGAAATATGTTTCTTCATGTTTCTTCACCTGGTGCCTCATCCAAATCCAAAACATCCATGGCCCCCCTGGAGGGTCGTTGAAGGTCACGAACCAGGCACGGCTCGATCGCACTGGCCCCACCGAGATCGGCGATGGAAGAGTCGGAGTCGGGGTGAGAAAAAGAAGTGCCCGGAAGATCAACTCACTCAGGGAAGAAAGCCACCCCGACATGGAAGCTTGGTGTGTTGGTTGTGTTTGAATGATTCCCCCAAAAAACAAGGATGCGTTCCTCACACCCGCCTTTCGGAGCCTGTGGTGGGTCGAAGCCGGTTGTATAAAGCGGTTTTCAAAAACCGGTCGCTGGAACCCCAAACCTGTTGTGAAGCTGGTTCTTCCAGTTTTGACCGCCCATCTACGAGTGCAGCACTTTGCCCATCTACGAGTGACGCTGCGTCGAGGTCGCCGCCACGAAGGAGGCTTTGGGTTTGAGCATCTGCAGCAAGTGAACGCCGACACCACCTCGGTGGAAGACGCTTCTTTGTTCATCAAAAGCCACAAGTTGACAAGAGGGGGTGCCCAACTCCATATGGACCTACGGTTTTGTCAAGTTATACAAGAGAAATGATCCGCAGACTTCTGGTTTCCAATTGCCTTCTTTAAATGAAGATCTCACCAGCATGTTTTGGGGGCTGAAGTAAGTAGCCTACGCTCGGCCTCGGGTCGCAGCAACATGTCCAATAATTCAAGTACATATACCAACAACCTCCAACAGGTCTCCTCTGGTAGCTTTTGGAGACTTAAAAGTGTCAGGTGGTGACCTGTTGGAGGGTGCTGGTATATATATATATATAGTGTATACACTTTACATAGAGATCCATAGGTAGGGTAGGGTCTTCCATTGGTGACCCCTTTGAAGGTGCTGGTAGGTGTTTGCACGTAGTTTGATGCTTCGGACTACTCAATACAGTACCATCCCAAACAGTCACCACTTACTTGCGCTGAAGCACAACTGTGACTATCATCTGCCTACAAGTTATAAGGTGTGCAAGGTGGTTTCAAAGGTTCGATGGCACAATCTCCAAAAGGCGGTTGATATTAACCCCATCTAAAACACATCTTGGGGTGCCAGTGCCAATTACTCTGAAACCACTGTATTCTATATGCATATGCATGTATATATATATATATGTATGTATGTATTGTGTGTGTTTTGTCTTGGGGCCAATCGATTCCGGGGGGGTCAGACGTCAACCGCATATGTTTTGGAGGTTGCTCCAGCACGGAGAGGCTCATGGCGTGTCTGGGACGACAAGTGTTGCCACAGCCATCGTCCTCGACCGCAAAGAACCAAGCCACCAAGTTTTCAAGGGGCGATGAAATCCATTTCCACGATTGGATTAAGGGGATGCCTTTGGAAATGTGTCCTTCTTCTGGGAGCTTTCACCACTTACTTTGAAAACGGAACAAATGAGAAATCACAAGAGCCTACCCCACAAACAATGTGTCAAAGACTTGCTGTGGTTGAAACTTGTATGTCCCGCCTCCCAGACCGAAATCTGCAAGTTTGAGTTCGAGATGCCATCCATCGCACTTGGTGCCTTAGTCTTCTTAGTGTATCACCTTAGTCTTCATCTTCGGTCCAGCTCTGCAGAACCCCTTGCCGGTCTTCGGCCCCAACGCCCCCTCTTGGGGCACTCAAAAGGGAATATGGATAGTCCCGGCTCTTTAGCTCCCTCCTAACCAGCTCAAGCACCCACCTCCCCGGAAACCGGCTTCCAGGGCGCCGCTGCCGTTCAGCACGAGCACCCGGTCATTGGGGCGCAAGTACTTCTCACAAAGGAGCATCGCCGACAAAGCGCTGGAGGGCAGGGCACTGGCATCCTCGAAGGAGATCCTGGGTACGGTTGACTGAAACGACATAGATTGTGGGAACCAGAGTCGTTCATTAGATTAGATGGAATGTGAGAGTTGAATCGCGCAAAATATTCAATATATAACCAACAATACTACAGTATATAATATATATGATTGCTGATAGAGTGTTTCAGAGTCTTCTTTCGGTCGTACGTGGCCTTGTTGGCCCGCACCAGAAAAAAAAGGATCCAATCCTCCCTCCACAACACCAGTGCCTCCAACATGATTGCAACCTCTTTGATGCGAGCGAAGAAGGAGGAAGCGCACAAGATCTGAGGTGGCCAGTATGAAAAAGGAATTGCAAAGGGTCCCTCCCTGCGATTGTTTCACACCACCACCCCCGTAGCGCAGCTTGGTAGAATCCCCATCGTTCCGAGGAATTTGATCTGCAAGCTTCGAGGAGGGCTTGAGCGCCGCATGTGTTGCTTGGACCAGCTTGTATTCCTCAGCTCAAGTCAGAACAACGGCGGGAACAAGACTGAAGAACGTGACATCGATCGAAAACCAAGCTGCGACAAGCAACGGAATACGGCGACAACTCTGTGGTGCACCCTTCCTAATCTTCCGTTTGAAACCCTCCAACACAGCTGGAACAGTGTCTCTGAAACAAAGGTGAAGGTAACTCGCCCAATCTGGAACAGCTGTCCAGACTGATGGAACGTCAAGTTGAAAGGAACCAGGAGTCACAAAGGAGTGGTTTTTAGTCCCTAATAGTCCCTAAGTTAGTGGATATTGGGCACCCCTATCCTCCAATAGGCACCCCTTTGTCACTCCTGGAAAGCTGGTTTTAATCTATTCTCTCTCCTCTACGTTGCATGTTGTTGTATGATTTCTCCCTTCTTCTAAGACGAAGCTCTGAGCCCCCCGCATCTGATCCAAAGGGGGAGACGACTTCAAAGCTCTCAATCCATGACTTTGCAGTTCAGACTGGGATGATTTACTATATATCTTACTCTACACTGGCTATGATATATATATATATGACATAAATATCTTCTAGATGGGTTTGTTTCATACAGTTCCATGACCTAAGGATCCAGTATCCCCTTGCTGATTTCAGCGGTAGGTCAGCGCAAACGATTTTACGTGCAACTAGGTTAATAAGCAAAAAAGAACAACACAATCTATGTGTTTAAAAGTTACACGAAATCAATTTCACAAGAAAATACATTTAACTTAAAATCGAGCTAACGACGTCAAACAGAAATGTCACGAAACATGACTACTCCCAAACCAAGGTACTTAATGCTGCGGGCCACCCCAGAAAGGCTGCATCAATGGGAAAGCCACAAGATTCTATAGTGGCTACAGGGGCCATGTCTTTTTCCAGGTCTACCAATGAAATCTTTTCCCTTTCAGGCAAGTGCGCCAACAAAGAATTGAAGCCCTGGGGTAAACAACTACGATAGTTCCTTTGAAAATACCTAACCCGGGCCACCCATACCAGCAGGACTGCTTTCCCTGCCTCCCCCTCCAGCCTACCTGTGGCCAAACCCTGCCCAAGAGCTTGAGCCCCCAATGTTATCGAGCAATTTTGTGCCAGGTCTACCAATGAAACCTTTTTCCCTTTCAGGCAGGGTCACAAACAAAAATAAGTAAAGGCATCGAAGGCCTAGGGTATCCTTGGGTAAACTTTAGGCTTTCTGTCAAGAGTGCAATTGGCTGGCCAAAATACAAACTCTCTCTAGCATCAAGTGCACACCCTCATCACCCATAAAGTCTCTATAGAATCTCGGGACCAAATCTTTCAAGAAAGAGAACAGTATATACCTAGCACTTCCTGTCCGGGTGCTCTGTTTGGAGACCTGTTTACGTAGGGTGGGGGTAGTCTAGCCAGGACACCCAAACAGGATGATCCTGTTATATTTATATGTGCATATTGCTTAAAACTGAATTATTCTCTAAAGCATTGGGTGGCACAATAGATCTGCGTTAGGCTTCTGCTTCTAGGCACCGGTGCTTTGTTTCCTAACATGCTATTGCTTTTTGTAGTACCTAAGATATCTGATTTTGGAGTGTTTGTTCACAGGATGATCTAGTCATTTAGAACCTGAGTCTGACCTCTATTTTGGACCATCAATGAATCGACTGCCCAAATGAGTGCCTTTTCCTGTCAAAGCCAGGACCATATCTGGGTTCTGGGTTCTAGGATGTTCTAGGATGTTCTA